TGTATGCCACGAGTGTTGCTTTCTTCCTGGGCCTCAACGTCCCTCTATTTTTCTCCCTCGTTCTTTGTAGAATTAGTTTAGGAATGTAATATTTCCAATCCAAATACATGATTTTATTTAATTCGATTTAAAAACGTTTGTGTAACCTTTTTCATTCAATAAATTTGATTGAGAAAGTAACACGGTCATTATTCTAACTTTAATACAAACTATTGCAGCTTGAAGAAGGTTTTTTTTCTAGAGCACAATACTACGTTCCCATTCACCCATGGATCCTCGGTTGTCAGGCAGTATTAACGTTTTTTGTATTGGCCAATTTTACTTTGGCAACTTTTATGGACCCTGGCATTATACCACAAGGTATTTAACTCACTACGGCTAACATTGTTTTCTTGGTATGATTTTAATGATTTTTAGCCCCGGCCGACGAAGATAGAGATGATGATTTCCGAGCGCCTTTATATAAAACTACAGATATAAATGGAATTGCTGTACGAATGAAATGGTGTGTAACTTGTAAGTTTTATAGACCGCCCAGGTGTTCACATTGCAGTGTATGTAATCATTGTATATCACCCTGTATATACGGTCTGATTCTATATACCGTCTGTAACATATGTACTCTTTCAATCAACGCTAATACCAAAACTGGAACGTTGTAACCTGTTACCGAAAAATAACCGTTTATCATACCTCTAAAAAGGATATGGTGCTGCAAGCGTAGCCACGGCGGCCATTTGGCTGATATCGTTTTGAAATGTTAATGGCATACCTTCCTCTTTACAATGAAATAAACATTCATTATAATCTCTTAAAAAAATACTCGTTTTTGTTTAATATCAAAACGAAACCTCGATAAACGAAATCGTTAAGAAACATAATTATGTTTATGTTTGTGTATGGGAAATAGATAGCGTTGGCAATTTGATTCTTCCCGGCTTTCTTCATCTAAACCAGTAATTCCGAAGGTGGTGCAAGTGGACCCCCGGGGTGGCGCAGGTCTACGTCGACGAAAAAAGAATTGGGGGTTTCCAAGTTGCAAGTGAAAATAAAGAACAAAAATGTTGGCCCGGGTTTACCTATCAATGTTGGCGAATAATATTTCAAGGACTGTTACTTGTGAAAATTTCCTTATTTCATAAGCTTAACCCTAAACCTTGGGAAAATACGATGATGCAATCGGCCAACAAATAGCGATTGGGGTGCCATCGAAGCTGAGCGAGCATGTTACTGACTCGTACCAGCTTTCATTTATTTGCATAATTGAAGTAGTGGGTTATTTTTGAAAAACTTACTTAAATTATCGGCTGCACCACCTCTCCCACTTTCCATCACTCTTGGCCTTGGATGGGGACTACCTCTCGGATAATGAAGAGGCCGCATTACGGAATGTCGTCCAGGCGAGTCATCTCCGTTCTGACCCATCATTTGGTTAGCCATGTGACCTGCCATCTGCACAGCCATCATTCCCCCTGGAGGGCCGCCCATTGATGTTGGGGGAAGAAAAAAATTGCTTTTAGATCCATGCCGCTGTAAAGGAGGCGTAGGCTCGCAATCTTGAGACTGAGATGCGGATGGCTCCATATCCATATCTATTGCGTCTCGTCCAGGAGACATCTGAAACATATTTATCGTTTCAAGTAAGTTTGGCTTCTATTTCCCGAAAAAATTATTCAGACCTTAGCTCATATGACCTTATTAAGTAGCATAGTCAACTACTCTACAGTCTAGACGTATACGACCGCATTGCAATTCGAGATATTTAAATATTAGGGAGATATGGAGGAGTATGTTTGGTGCCCGTTCACTAATAATTACAGGATGAAACATGTAACTGAAATTCACAATGAACATTATTTGCTAATCAAAATCAATTCCTGGGCTTCAGTCATTTATTGTCTATTTATCAGTTAAAATACGTTTCGGTGTTTTCCGCCATCATCAGTTTCTCTAAAATAACAGATAGTAAAAAAAAATTTCATTAATTTAAAAAACAATACAGTTATTGATGAAATTATTGAACTTCTAAGTTATATTGAACGGCCAAGACGGTATCTTGAACGAGAGGACCAAATGAACAAATATGGAGATTCTGAATTTC